TATTCATATAAAATTAGCGTATACGGCTCTTGTCTTACGGTTAAAATAAATGGAAATTGTATTATATCTAACTGTATTTAATACAGGGACACCTAGTTAAGGAGCCAAAGTTACAATGAATCTGATCCGTTATCTACACAATAAAAGTTTTATTATAAAATATTATCAAAGAACTTGTAGAACGAATCATATTTTTTTTATGACGTAACGTAGAATAAGCGTAATATTCCAAATACGATTTTACATTTTCAAGGGATTAAATAGATACACGCTTTTTTTGTTTGCAACCAACAACACTACGCGCAATGATTCACAGTCGTTCCAGGATCCCGTTAAATTAATCTCAAATGGCGCAAAAAATACAAACGAATTGAGATCGTTTTCCAATAAATGGCTTTGTGTTAACGTACGACACAATTGTAAAACTTTCATTCCTGCTATAAATGTACAATACGCAAATAATCTATTTAATGCCCATATTACGTTATACTGAATAATCAGAGTCGTTAATGTGCCGTTAACAGTGTCCCTTAGTATTGATTTCTTATACTAAATATACCCTAAGGAAGCCACTTTATGGTTATTTGATTTTCTTACGTTTTTTAATTATGTAACTATTTTAAAGCAAAGGAAGAGAAAGAGTCATTACTATTTTCTTGCCATCAGCTTTCCTTCTAACTACATAATACATTTATTTAATTTTATTGTCAAACAAAAAAAGAAGATACAAGTCTTCTCTATGAATTAGATAGCTATTTAAGTTTATTCATATCAAACTTTTCACACAATATTTTTTCTCCTGCAATCAATATTAAAGTATATTCATTTTATACAAACTGGTTAATTTTATCGCAAGCAATTTCGTGATATCCCGAGGGACAAGGAATGTAATGTTGGACATACAATTACAAAATTCTGTTTATTTAACTATACACTGGGTTAATTAAGTTTTGAATGTAAAACGAACGCGATAATTAACAAGGTAGAGATTTCTGTTTCGGATTATATTGTTACAAGGGGTATAAAATTTTTCGAATTTTTGCAGGATACTGAACGAGTCGTTTTTTTAATGATTTTTTTTTATTAAAATACGTTTTTGATACACCCAAAGAATAAAAGTAGTGAAGAAGCATATGATATAATGGCGTCTCTAAGCGTCAATAGCCTAATGGTTAAGGGTACGGATTTCCGATCACGAAGTCGGGGGATCGAATCCCGCCATTCGACTATTGTCGTAAAACATGCCCTAGTACAAGCCTAGAGCTTACTTGGAATGGTAAAAGAAATATTAGTAAATTTACAACAAATCTGCTAATATTTTATATAATATATTTTATATATATAATTCAAAAGATACATTTTTGTAAGTCAAATATTTCTTTAAAATCTTATTTGTGCTTCTATGAAAGGTTTATTATTTCACATTTCAGAGCTTTTGGCTTGATATCGTTGGAATTTATTTACTTCAAACAAAAGAGAGAAAATGTCTTTTCGAGGTGGAATCTTTTGTATCGACAATTCCAGGCAGTATATATTTTTTGTTAAAATAAATTTTCATTTAAAAACAAAATTTGAAGAAAATATGAAATTGAATATTGAATATCGGTGGCAAGTAACTTCTTCAATGATTTTTATCCGACTTTACGACTTCATTTAACATTTTATTTATATTTTTATATAAGCAAATCCATCAGCTTTTTTCATCCACTAATATAATACTTACATATGTAATATTGCTCTAGGAAACAACTTTTACCGCAATTAAAAATCGAACGTGTAAACAACATAAACAATATCACAGCTTCGAAATTCAAGCTACAATTAGGTCACATAATTTAATAACAATAATGACATCAAAATCTGATAATTTTACCGACATTAAAATAAGTTAATTAGTGTCGATTTTAATTAAAATGATTAAGCTACAGCTATGCTTATCGTAGCATAGGATATAATTTGCTTGACAAACTAACTTTTGCCTGCGGCTCCGTGCCTATGTGTTCTTCCAGACAACCTTTTACATCTATGCCAAATTTCATCGAGATCCGTTGAGTTTTTCTGGAGAGACCTTCTAACAAACATCTATACATCCATTTTAGCATACTCATATATATAAGTAAGAAGTAAGATTGTGTCATAAACTTCAATACTTTCTTTTAATTTTTATTCTATTAAAAAATTATAGGTCAAACATAAAAATATAATTAGAGAAGTAGCTGCCAACGCCGAGTTTTAACGCGGCGTTAAAAAGCGCCCTGGCTATAGCTTGCTTAGAATTTTTAGAAACGTGTTTATTTCTAACATCTCGACTACTACGAGTATGTCTTATAGGATATTTGTTTGTGACAACCTTCGAAGCTGTCTAAAATAATTTATAGCTGTAGTTTACAGACTAATGATTAATGCATACTCCTCACTAATGGCGCTAATGGCTTTCACGACTGTTTTCCTTGTCATAACAAACTACACTAAAATAAAATCATGTTTCAGTTAATTTTTACCAAGAAATTCTTGAAATTCAATATATTGTGATTTTTATTTACGTTTTAAATCTTACTCTTGTTTTATCTTACTAATGTTATAAATGCGAATGTTTGGATGGATGGATGGATGTTTGTATCTCCAGAACGGCTGATCGGATCCCGCTGAAATTTGGCGTAAATGTAGAACACAGTCTGAAAGAACACACCGGCTAAATAAGTTCTTAATGGTTTCGCGTGGACGGAGTCGCGGGCAACAACTTGTCCTTAAATAATTCACTCTTATATAGATTAGTTAAAATGTGTAAAAAGTATGGGAGACTGTTTGAATTTCCAATAACCCAAACAAATTGATTTCCACTACCCGAACTTATTTGATTGTCTGTCGTCAAATAGGTTAATTCAATAAATGAGGTCACGAATTCGAAACTATTGTTTAACGAAGGACACTTGATTCTGTTTTATAGAGTTCACTTTAAGAATCGGAGCTCATTAAAGGAACATTGAAGAGGCGACAGGCGTAACTAGTGCTGAAGCACTTGGCACTCACTCGGCTCGTGGCTCACGACTCGTTAGTCGATTGAATTACACGCCTTTTGTTACAGTGAACGTATTCATGACTTTCAGTTCTGTTTATTACTTTTTTATGACTAAACTTTATATAAAAGGTTACGTGAGATGAAATTTAAGTACATCTGAGCTTATTACCTAACCTATATGATCTTTGAATATGTACAAGTATTTTATATAAGGAAGTATAAATTGATAGAGTTTGAATTTTAAGCCACTTAGAATATAATGAGAATATCTTTGCTCTATATTCTTTAGTAAGTATAATAGCCTCTATTAAGTTATAAAAATAGCTCTAAAGCTCCTCAAGGTTTAGTCCTAAGTAGGTTAAAGTTAGTTTTCTCAGTAGTTCTGAAGTATAAAATATTAAGCACACTTTGACGATAAGGATAGAAGTAGAGTATTATGAAACTTAAGAGAAATATTTTCTTTAAAAAAATTTAAACTCTATACCTTTTTAACGATACTTTAATCTTAATAAAATTAAAGTTTTAATTATCTATATAAAACGTAGATAAGAAACGAGGTGTGTTTAGTACATCTTCCTAAAAAATTGACAATTTTAGTTCCAATTGTATTGAAGAAAAGAGTTAAATCTTTTTTTAGGTATACGTAATCATTTTAGTTATTCTGAATATTTTGTTTATAAATAAAGCGACGTTTATCATTGCCAAAACTAATATATAAGATATATTTGATCATAAAATAGATTTTTTTTTAATATTAACAGATTTTTTTTGTAAATTTACTAATATTATATTTCTTTTACCATTCCAACTAAGCTCTAGGGCTTTTGCTAGGATATGGGATTCGAACCCCAGACCTTGTGATCGGAAATCTGTACCCTTAACCATTAGGCTATGGACCCTTTTTTTAGATTAGATTATATTTAGATATCATCATTGCGAACTCTATTATTCAAAGGGTTTAGATTACAATATTTGTAGTACTATTATTTTTGATATTTAGACCGTGGATGCTTATAACGAGACATTTCATATAGAATACATTGGAAATGTCTTAATTCAATCGTTATGTGCTGTAACAGTCTTCGTGGTCTGCATAATTGATGTGGGATGTACAGCTCAGCTGTAATTCTGGTCAACATGTCCCCGTAGACTCAAGCCATTACTTGTTTAGTACATTAAGTAATACTTACAACTACCTTTTTATTACTTACCGGTGAATTGTTGGTGTTAAATTCTTGATATCTTTAATGGAAATATTCGATAAAAATGTTGTTAAAAGTACACGTTTTTTTTTATTTAATTAAGAAAACTGTTGTGTTTGATATATCCTATTTTTATTCTCGTTTGTATATTGTTGTCTACAAGCATTGATTGTGAGAGATTTAAAATCTAGAATAAATATGAATTAAATATAGAGTAATTATAAAATAATTTGCGTAAAGTGTAAAGAAGATTGTAGAAAATATACATTTTTACTATTTAACTACTTTTATCTACAATAATAATTACAAATCCCTTTTACCGATAGGCTTTTTATAATAAAATGTTTAAAACTAGCGAAATATTAAAATATCATTCAAAGCTATACATAAAGGAATAAAAGATTTTACGCTTTTTTAGATTTTTAATCGTCAATCGACTGTTTGCAGTATATGAATTCGAGTTCCAAGTTAGAAATATACATAATATATAATATCTAAATATATTTTATGTACAGATAAATAGAAAAGTAGTCGAATATAATAATCGGCTATCGATAGAGTCGAGCGGCGAGAGTGCGGGCGTCGGCCGGCAGGGGACGCCGGCGGGCGGCGGCAAGCGTGCGGGCGAGGTACGGCTCGCCGTAAAACTTTTAGAAAAATAGATAAATCGCTCAAAAACGTCAGAGTCAGTCGAGAAGATAGAAGAATGGAGAACACATGAGAAGACAGCCGGCGCGGCGCGGGGTGCGGCGCGGGGTGCGGCGGCGGGCAAGCGCGCCTCACGCATACTCCGTGTCTGTGGACAGCGAGCGCTCAGCGGGCGAGCGCCGCCCCGCGGCCTCTGCGCCCGCCGGCTCCCCCGCCTGTGCCTGCGCATACGCCAGGCTCTTTTGGTAGCTGAACAGCTGCCGCTCCAGCGAATAGTTTTCTGCCTGCAACGCTGTTATTTCACGCCTGCAAACAAATAGACTAGTTTAGCATGTTTCCTCAATAAAACCATTAGATATATAGCATATTACTTATATTCTAAATGAAGTTCTATCAAGTAAATTAACACAATATTTCGCACTACAGATAAAGTAACAAGATGCAAGATGTGATTACAGACAATATGTATGTGCATACGTCTATACCGACCTCATTTGATGAGCGTGCAGGCGACAAAGGTCATCGTAGACGTGGTATGTAGCTTGGAAGAGTAGATAGGTGTCGCCCCACTCGAGGCGAACGCGAAGCTCACCGCCCGCGTGCAGAAAGGCACACCCAGCTCGCGAAATATCCTCCACCCGAAGTGCGGTCTCCATCATGAGTCCCTCGTCAGCACTCTCTTGTGCATAGTAGTGTTCGAAAGGTGCGCCCGGCAGCTCATCAGCGTCGGCTTCGCCCGGAGCTGGTGACGCGCGCACCAGCCACGCCGACCAACTCACGTAGCGCAGGTGATTCCTCGGGACGTGGTGTACGTCGCGGTACAGCATGTGTAGGCGCACTGTCTCGGAATGAGTGTCGCACCGCAGTGCCCACGCCTGCTTGTCACGGTCGTAGCACGTCGCCGCGCGCCCGGCCGCCGATACCGCCAGCTCTGCAAGCGCACGAGCCCATACCAGCTCCACAGTCAACCGGACACCCTTATGTAGAATACGAGACGGAGGACGAGGGTTCCAGGGCGGAGTTCGACCCTCGGGGTCGCATACGCACTCGAGTGGACCGGAATGCAGGCGCCGTTCGCCCTCTCCAAGAGCGAGGGCATACCGAACCCGGCAGCGCTGTCCCTCCCCGGATAGACGCACCAGCCGGAGCGTAAGGGGCTCCTTGTTCCCCCCGCTCGCCGACACTGACCAGTCGAATCCGGCGAATGCTATGGGCGGCGTATCGAGACGAGGCGCTCGCAGCTCGCATGAGTACAATGTGCGGACCTTCGACATAGTGAGCTCGAGTTGGAACTCGCCGCGCGCATCCGCGAACTTGGCAGTGAGCTCGGCGAGCGTGATGCACCGGCCGCGCCCCTGCGCTGCGCTTCCCGCGCTGAACCGCACCTGCTTGCCGGAGAAGCCCTCGTTCGCAGTGAAGTGGTCGCGGCTCAGTAAAGTGAACGTGAAGTCTACATAGACGCGCATACCCTCGCACGCACCCCGCCATACCAGGTACACGCCTGTTAAAATAATACAATAATAACTTTCATCTTGTTTTACTTAGTCCAGTTGATCCTATAAAAACAGAACGATTTCGTGTATCTGAAATATTTCAATTTCAATGTACGAGTAACAAAAACCAATGTTTATTTTACAGGTCTTCTATATAAATTTCAGTTCGACAAACATGCGTTCTTATTATACTTATTTAATTATACACATGTACCTATATTTTGTTCAAATAACATAAAATAGAATTATTTTTAAATCATTGATTTATGTATACCCAGAGGTTAATATTTACCTAAAGAGGCATCAGTGCGGCTGAAGGCGACTGCCCACCGCTGGTGGGAGCAGCAGAAGTCCTTTGAGGTGACGTCGCGGTCTGGCTCGCGAGTGGCCGAGCGCGTCACCACGAAGGTGAAGACGTGTGTGTCGGCGCGGTCCTTAAGCCGCGTCGCGCGGTACAGCAGCGCCATGCGCTCGCCGCCCGCCGCGCCCCCCAGCGCCCTCCGCCAACACCACCAACTTTCTGCACAATACATACTTGCATATTTATCGTAATTTTTTTTACACTTCACAGTGACCTGAGACAGGCTTGATGATGATGAAGCTTGCTTAATAACAATTCAATCTCTTCATATTCTCTTAAAACTACTCACTCAATATTTTTATGTTAGAATTAGATGTTTGTTTTGAATAAAAGCGTAAAATAAAATTATTTAATAATGATGAAGTAGTGCTAATAATAATATAGTTCAGATATATGCCTGAAACTATTTGCCACACGATCAAAGCTCTGAAGAGCAATTAACTCACATCATTAACTCCCGATGGAGTAATTAAAATTGATATAATTTGCATTACCACATACACTCTGCTTATATTATTATTATAAATAGCTCATAATATTTTAGATAAAATATCTGTTCCTGACAGATTTTAGAAAAAAAAAATTAAAGACCGTTCTTTCGACAACCTTGAGAAAGGAGATTTTCGTTGAACAAATACCACTGACATTTTCCCCACATTTCAATAAGTCATCTTATTTGTGTTCGAAAAAACAACAGAAGCTTTAAATTATTATATAAACAAGCATACGGCGCAAATTTTTAACAAATACTGGAATTCATAAGTTTCACTTGAGGTCTGGAAAGTTCTAGATTACACGATGCTACGTTGGCGTGAACAAACACAAACTTATACAAGTTTGAAAGTCATCTTGATTTCATCGTGTTTTCATTTACATTTAGTAATAAGTTTCCATTTAATTGGCTATTCGTTTGTTTTTTTTTGTATGTTGTTTGTTGGTTTTTTCGATCTATTATATTTTCACTATGACAATAGTAAAGGTCGTCAGCGGGATTTTGTAGTATAAGTTTACGATGAAATAGTTATCTTTGTAGGCTTGCTACTAAACTCAAACTTCTGTTGAAGTTCGAGTTAACCGCACACATGCCTTGCGGTTAATTCTCCAAATAGTAGACCATTTTGATTCGTAGCAATTTCAAACTTTATCTAAATAACCCAGTATATTATTCAGGGTGTTTTCGAATATTACAATAAACACGTTTAAAATGCTTTTATCAAAATAAATTAGATTGACATAAAACAAACATATTCAAAGAAGTACTTTTTCCATGAAAGCTACTATCATCTTTATAAACTCGTGACTAGCAACCGCACCGTAAATATTCAAGGCTGGTAGAGGGGGCTAAGGGAGGGAGGGCTTGAAGGCAATCTTCACTCGTAAATCAACTTACTCAATTTTCTCAATTCCAAGTTATGTGATTAAAACGTAAGACCTCTCTGAAGTAATGTTATATTAAATTTATCGTAACATTCAGTACACATGTGTTTTTAAGTGACTAAGCGTTAATGAAATTACGGAATTAAATATATAATTTATGCTTTTGACTTTATAACTTATTTCTTTTATGCTTTCCCAGTGTCTCAATTGCTGCAAAAATTAAAAAAAATCGTTGACTTTTTGTTTATAATTTTTGTTCTATTTCGAATCTTTTTTCTATAAATATTAGTAATATTTCCGCTATTTTAAATTACCACGATAGTAATCTCTTGTGTATAATCTATTGTAACCTTTCCATTTGGCGCGCACACTACCGCAGCGAACACGATAAAAATATGTTCATAATTTTTAAACCTTTTTATATTTTGTCGCGTGTTGTTCGCTCGATTTTATCGTAAAATTTTGATTGAAGGCTTTTAATGGACCGAGAAATAAACATGCACACCTGCAATAAAGAATCATAACTTTAATATTACTTAGAAATTTTACATTCTTTATTTTTACGTTTTCAATTATTTTGTTATCTAGTTTTAACACTATCCAAATTAGGTATCACTAGGGTTTAGTTAACCTAATTAACCCAGTGCGGTACCAGTTCAGTATACTTCACACAATTTGAATTTCTTCGCTATGCTACTTGTGATTTTAATACATTAATTAGTTGAAAGAGACAAGACAAATTAGAAAACATAGAATGAATCACAGTTGAATAGTTAACGAAGCTGCACTCTCATGAATAATAAACGCTGTCCGGCGTCGAGAGGTCGAGACCTGAGGCTCGTGCAAAATTAAACTCGACAACAGTCACACCTAATATTATCAATGTCTTCCCGCTAACCATTTGGGAATATGTTATTTTTCTTTGTACGTTGTGTTTTATTGATCTTTATATTTAGGCATTCCACAAGAACGTTGATTTTTCATGTTGTTTCTTTTCCTCTTGTTAATACTTAACAGTAAGAATGAAATGAGACCTGTAAGTGTTGTAGATAATAAATTCTTGTATTATTTTCAACATGATTTTTAAGTAGATCGCATACGAATTTTAAAGCAATCGGTTTATTATTTACTTATGTAAGATCTTCGTCTAATTTAGTTGTCATTTGTTTAAAAGGAAAGTTAGAAAATACTTTCGCAGGAGTTTCTGAATAACTCGTTATCGTAGAACTTTCGTAGAACTCACTGTCGTAGTACTATCGTAGACAAATAATTATCTTACATCTTTAAAGAAATGAACAAAATATAATTAAGTTTTGGTTTTATTATTTGGTTTCTTAATAATACTACAACAATGTTAATAAATAAAATATTATATACAGTATGTGTAATAAAATAAAACTTCTATTTGACCCTTTTTTCATTTACATGGATTAAATGAAAATAGGAAGATGGTATAAAAAGGACTGTCGATCTTCAAGTTTACGTTTACGTTACGTTCGCAATATTGTATTTTTTGTATCTTTTGCATTACAAATACTGTATTATTTCCTTAGAGATACATCCATATTTCATCTCTACGAAATGCTTCGTTTTATCCTTTTTCGGAAATGTGCTTTTCCTTCCGCAATTTTCTATCAGCATCATAACGCGTGAGATCAACATTTCCTTGTGTCTATTTATAACCTTAAGCACAAAATAACAAATACAAAAGAACATGTTATTAACTCAATTTTTCCAGGCTATTAAAAGGGATTACATAAATTTTATATTTTTGATTTCAAAAATCTTGTAAAATGTTTCTTATAATATATGTTATCATTTTTTATAAGAAAGAAACACAAAAAGAGAGAAAATACCTCATTCGTTCTTTTTCTCTACTTGAAATATGAAAATCGTGTATAGATTTAAAACATTACTTCAAACTATGTATTACTTTACTGAAGTAGCCTCTGAAGTAGAGTCTCATAAATCCGTAATCATGGTAAAGAACAGAGCTTAAGGCGACGTTTACGAGAATTTAACGCCCCCGCTGCGGGGCGACGGGGCAGGGGCGAGGAGGCAGCGCCGGGGGCTACGCGGAGGGCCACCGTAAAATATTTCATCGGACAATCCTCTACTAAAATACACGGTCGTAAAGGTGGTTATTATGTCATTCCCAGTTTATCCGCCTATAGGAAATTCGTTTTTACATTTTAATGACTTATTCCAGTGATGCTGTCACCCGCTAAGCCATTAAGTTTATCTTGGCTACGTAATTATCGATATTGCGTTGATGTAAATCACAAAACTTCATAAATAAAGCCTACTGATCAAAAGTTAAATGTACGTGTTCAAAAGTTATTTTTTTTTATATCATAAGGTGGCAAATGAGCGAGCGGTCACCTCAAATCGCTGAAATAGCGAAGTGACCGTTGCTCAAAGACAAATGTACGCAATTGCATATGCGTTGCCTACCTTTAATCGACGGAGGAGATGATGCACAGAACGAAAATATTTTCATCCGTAAAGTCCACTTCCACTTCCAATCCTCTCCTTATAAGAAAGAAGGTTGGAAGGGACAGAGGACTAAATTAGGCCTTCGGGACGCACACTCATCAGACAAAACGCGGCATTGCTTCCACTTGACGCCTGTCTTCTGTGTGGTCGTGGTATTTCACCGGGCGAGCCGGGCCAATTCGTGCGAAGATGTTAAAGCGGGCTCTACCACTGTTAAATTAAATATACTCTTACAAATAACTTAAACATGCACAATAAGTTTATAATCATTTTATGTAAATCACACTTTAGGCCTAAGTAGTAAAGATTGTCAGTAATAATTTTACTCACAGTTTTTACTTTTCACTATAATTTAGACACACGTTACGTGTTTATCATTGTTTATATATATACAAGTAACAATCGGTAGGTAAGCTTTATTCGATGAATATTTTATGAGCAGCCTAGATACAGCCGGCTCCGACTCCAGTCTGACCGACACGTCAACGTTTGTAAGGACACAATTCATTTATTTAGTGTCTACGTTGAATTAAAACATTAATTCTTAGTAATCTACAAGATATAACAAAAGTATTAGTGATCGTTTCTTTCCATCACAATATTATATTCCAGTTTTCATTAATATTTACAGCTCGAAGTATTAAGAAAAATACTTAAGGTAAAACGGAATGTCATAAAAATTGTAGAGGTTATACCAACACAACGCAACGGAGCAGCTTAAATAATTAATCAGTATTCAAGTTAAACACAACGTTTTACTTTAATACTTATTTAATACTACGACTGATACTAATACTAATATTACCACTACTGATACTCATAATACTATTAATATTTAATAATTCTTCAAGAACTCTTTCGTGCCAATTGAATTACACAATTCAACGAATGTATTTTAAACTCCCTTCAGATCAATTAATAGCAAATTCTAATTGAATAAGTCAGAGAATTAATCAAATTAAATCTCATCACAACTTCCAAAAACTTACTGCGCTGTCTGAAAGTGTAGCAAGGTCGTTTGAAAATATGCTCTGATTGGATGGAGGAATTTATCATTAATATAAAGGTCAAAAAGGCTTCGCTCTAAGTATTAATTAAAAGCCTGTAATGAAATATATCTTCAATACGTGCCTGACTAAGCTTGGGCTTAGTCTGTAATTAAAGATAATAAAAGGCAAGGAAAATGGACAGTAATTACGAATTACGTACATGACGTAGACATTTTTCAGTTTT